AAAAACAAAATATGCTTAAATTAACAGGGCAGTGGCGTGTCATGTGATAAAACTTTATTGCCCTGGAAACCTTAATGCAATGGTCACATAAAAACACACGCAGGGGCATCAACGGGAGTATTTAAAACTTGTATGTGACAGAAAAAATGCTATATAAGTGATTGCTACCCATTTCCAACATTCTACAAAGTATCTTCTTTATGTTCAGCAAATAAAAGCAACGCAAAAAGGTTTGGATGGTGAGTACATGGCGACTGAATTTTAAGCATTCGGTGAACATTCACTTTAACAAACACCGCTTCAGATTTCATTTACACCAGTGTTTTCAGGAACATTCCTGCTAATGCAAACCATCCATGGCCAGTTACACAGACTGTCCGCTTGTGTGTGAGCATGCATAGTCCATTTGTGTGTGTGTGAGGGTGCAAAGGTTCAGCTATCTCAGCTATGTCACCATTTCACAGCTTCTGAATGTGTGCAGCCATCCATCAAACAGCGCTGTGATCTTTAACCTTAAATGCCATCGTTAACTGACCAATCAGAGTATATTGCCTGCCTCTCAACATTCCACAGCAGTCGTTAGCCCCGCCCCTTTTGTGGCAAGGGTAAATGATGAAATGCAGTGCCAATTCTGGATTCATTTTTGCATAATAATGTCAGATTAAATCACTCTGATAATAATAATAATAATAATAATAATAATAATAATAATAATAATAATAATAATAATAATAATAATAATAATAATAATTCAATGTTGAAAATGTGTACTTAGAATTAACACTCACCAAGCATTACATTTGATGTTGAAGACTATATGAAAGTGTTACTTGTCAGTTGGTGTTCCTTGTTTTGGTGTAAACTTGTCAGTTGGTGTTCCTTGTTTTGGTGTAAACTTGTCAGTTGGTGTTCCTTGATTTGGTGTAAACCTGTCAGTTGGTGTTACTTTGTTTTGGTGTAAACTTGTCAGTTGGTGTTCCTTGTTTTGGTGTAAACTTGTCAGATACTGTTACTTTTTTTGGTGTAAACTTGTCAGTTGGTGTTACTTGTGTTGGTGTTACTTGTGATGGTGTAAACTTGTCAGTTGGTGTAACTTGTTTTGGTGTAAACTTGTCAGCTGATGTTCCTTGTTTTGGCGTAAATTTCTCAGTAGGTGTTACTTTTTTATTTTTAAATAATATGTATATATATATATATATATAAATGAATATGAAGTCAGAAGCACTGACTGGCATGACAAATGCTTGAGTTGTGAGCTTAAGTCACTTGTAACATGCGTTTGAAAATGCTATAATTTTCTAAAGTAAGTAACAACAATAGTTAAAAATTCCTTAACAACTAAACAGAAGTAAATGAGTAGTTTTTCTGTATTTTCGGAAATTATTACTTCTTTTTTTATTACTTTTTTGCCAAGAAAAGGCTATGATAAAAAATATTGGTACATATTTAAACTATATCATTGCAATTATTATTATTATTATTATTATTATTATTATTATTGTTGTTATTATTGTTATTATTAATAATAATAATAAGGGATGTCCCAATCAAGTTTTTTTGCCCTTGATTCAGAGTCAATTGATTTCGAGTATCTGCTCATATCGAAACCCAATCCGATACTTATACAATATATAAAAAAGAATAACGAAGAGCAAACAAACAGATCCTGGATGTTCCTTATTTAATTCACCTTTTTTAACATTCAACAACTGAGTTAACAAACAGAGCACTTCTGTGAGGTAGCTTCAACCATCAAGTAATAAATAACATCAGTTCTTCACTTTTGGACTTTCGTGCAAACATTATAATACCTCCAGACCCGACATACTCACATATTCCGCTTTAAGCTGCTTCCTTCTACTATTGTATTTTTTTTCATTCTACTTTTTGTATTAATATTATCTGTTATGCACCTACTGTAGGGTCTGATAATGCAAGTTCAATTCTCTGTATGTCCTAAACATGTGGTTAAATTGACGATAGAGCTGACTGATTTTGACTTTGGCTAGAAATGTGTAAAAGGTCTATACTGTATCTTAATATACTGTAAATTACTCCTGCCATATCAGATCTAAATTTTCAGCATAGATACTCCAGTGTCTATCAGAAATCATTTTAATATTACAATTTGGTCATTAGCAAGCATTTATTCTTTGCAATCAGTGTACCATATTTTTATTTATTTACTTTTATAATTTTTTTTATTTTTTTGCAGAAACCAGTGACACATTTTGTAAAAAGATTCTAAATATCTTGATAACTGTCACCTTTTATCCATTTAACAGATCCATGCTGAATATAGCTGTGCGTTTCTTCTGTAAAATACTGTGATATAAATATGTGACATTTATTAATAACTCCCACTGTTCTTCCTACATCATCTCAATATCTTTTTCTCAGCAGACCTAAAAAAAATGCGGAAAATGCATTCAAAGCCCTCATCGCTATAAGCTCACACATCCTCACGACCACATAATTGTTGGCATCTGTGTTTAGGTGAAGCTTGTGTTTTTGTGTAAATCCACAATGTCGTCATCCTCCCACTGCAAAACACCCACAAACAAAAACTTCTCTTAGTCAACAATTACATTGTGTTTTCACTGCGAGACACGGGATTCACTGCCGCTTGGGGTCAGTAAGGTTTTAGGTTTATTAAAAGAAGCCTATTTTGGTCACCAATGCCGCATTTATTTGATCAAAAAAGACAGAAACTGTACAATTGCGAATTATTGTTACAATTTAAATAGTTTTTTATTGAATATACAGTAGTTTCAAACTGGTATTTGTTCATGTGATTTATTTTTTAGCATCATTATTTTAGTCTTGTCGCTCAATAAATATTTACCAGTCCCTTCAAAGTCCAATTGTATAAATAAATATATAAATAAAATAAAATTAATTAATCAAATATATTTATAAGTAACAAAATATTTACGTATTTTTTGTCTATTTTCAAGTCTAAAAAAAAAATATTGCTAAATGTTTCGGGAAATGCGATCACAAAATCATAATTATACAGTGTTTGGCATAAATGTATACACCCTCAAAAGTCTATCTTTTAAATTCATATTGTCTAATTTTTTTTATTTGAAGCCTTACAATATTATATTTGTGCAAATATATTAGATTAGTCAGTATTGAAGCCAAAACTGGGGCTAATCTATCAAAATAACTTAGGATAACAGTCCAAATATTAGTACACCCAAATTTATACGTTAGTGAACATTATTCACTGCAACAGCAAGAAGGTCGCTGGGTCGTTGCTTCGAACCTCGGCTCAGTTGGCGTTTCTGTGTGGAGTTTGCATGTTCTCCCTGCGTTCGCGTGGGTTTCCTCCGGGTGCTCCGGTTTCCCCCACAATCCAAGGACATGCGGTACAGGTGAATGGGGTAAGCTTAATTGTCCGTAGTGTATGAGTGTGTATGTGTATGTGTGTGTGGATGTTTCCCAGAGATGGGTTGTGGCTGGAAGGGCATCCGCTGCATAAAAAGGTGCTGGATAAGTTGGCGGTTCATTCCGCTGTGGCGACCACGGATTAATAAAGGGAATAAGCCGACAAGAAAATGAATGAATGAATATTTCTCAATATAATGTAATAATTTCTCAAATTTTTATTGCTGAGCACTGCATTAAATGAGTCTCTGCAAAATCAGGAAGAGTCTGATTTATTTTCATTATTACTAGTGTTGAGCTTCATATTTTTATGGAAACTGTGACAGTAGTATCTTTCAAGAGATAGTATCTTTTAAAGCACCCTTAAAAAACTGTTTACTTTTATTCGTAAAGGACACATTACTGTGTGTGTGTGTGTGTGTGTGTGTGTGTGTGTGTGTGTGTGTGTGTGTGTGTGTGTGTGTGTGTGTGTGTGTGTGTGTGTGTGTGTGGGTGTGTGTGTGTGTGTCTGTGTGTCTGTGTGTGTGTGTCGGTGTGTCTGTGTGAGTGTACGTGTTTTTGTGCCATATCAGGGCACAAATCTGTATAATGACATGGGTATGACACAGGGATTACAAAAAAGGAGGTGAAATATGAGGACATTGGTGACGTCCTCATTTCTCAAAATGCTTATAAATCCTACAGAATGAGTTTAATCAGAGAGTAAAGCTGCACACAGTCTCCTGTGATGGTTGGGTTTAGGGGTGGGGTGGGGTGGGGTGAGGGCAATTTAATATACGGTTTGGACAATATAAAATGAACGGAAACCTATGTAATGTCCCCACTTTTCACAAAAAACAAAAGTGTTTGTGTGTGTGTGTGTGTGTGTGTGTGTGTGCGTGTGTGTGTGTGTGTGTGTGTGTGTGTGTGTTATTTGAGCCTTCTTTTCATCAAAGAATTATAAAAAGTTAAACATGTCATCACAGTTTAAAACAATAAAGCAGGAAAAATGTCAACATTGACAATTATAAGAATCCTAATCTCACAAGAAAACGTAACTATTTTTACATTTTGTCAGTTTAGTGGCTAATTCATACAAAATCAGTCATAGGAAAATGTACGATTTTAAAAAGGAGGCGTGGCACCCAACCCCACCCTTAAACCCAGCCATCATTGGGGAATAAGCAAATAGTATGAATGAGATCATACTAATAAGCCACTAAATCAAAAAGTTACAAATTGCCGTGAGATTGTGTTGTAATCATTATAAATGATTGTGGACCAAAAAGCTTATAAGAATGATTTCTGAAATAGCATGTGACAAGTATTATGAAGACATTATTAAATCCCAAGAATAAATGACATTTTAAACTACACTCATTAAAAAAACAGTTATTTTAATTTGTAATATTTTTTTACAATTTCCACTGTATTTTCAATCAAATAAATGCAGCGTTGGTGTGCAGAAAAGGCAACTTTTTAAACATTTTTTTAAAAATCTTAGTACGCACATCCTGTGTAACTGTGTTTGCAACTGCAAAAAATGCACTTCAGAAGGTAAATACTGATATGTTTCTTTATCACTTTCAGGATATGAGAAGATAAGAGAGAAAAGAGGATCTTCTGACCTTCTTAGTGATGCTGTCCAGCGTCTCTGGTCTGCTGATATCAAAACAGATGAGCACAGCATCGCAGTCTGGATACGCCAGCGGCCGCACGTTATCATAATACGAGGAGCCTGCAAAACACAAGCACAGTGGCGCTCACCATCAAAGCTCTTCGTTATGACAAAGCTAATGACGCTCACCAATGCTGGGACACGTACAAATTATGCACTCTTAAAGCAGGACAGATGATTTAAAAGACTCCAGTGGTGAGTGCGTGAGTTAGTTAAGTTTCAGTCAATTCTGTCTCTTTGATTGTGATCAATCATCATTTATATTAATGATCCATTAATGGATTAATCATTAATCTTAATCGTGCAAAATGTGTCGAGCGACACCCTATCATCAGCATGCAAATGACTCTTAAAATGAAAGCATCTTCAACCAAAGGAAAATGTTTTAATTAATGCCGTCAAACAATTAATTGTGATTAATCACATCCAAGATTACATTACATTAGTTCCTCCTTCTGTGAAATTAATTATTTCCCAATGGCTGTTTAAAAGAGAAATAAAATTGACATATTTTTAAACGTAATAATTTTAGTAAATAATAAAATAAGTAAATTCTAATATTTGGTTTGCCATGATAAGTATTTTGAAATATACACTGTATAATCCAATAAGTTAAGGTAACTCAAACTATTTGAGGAAACCGATTACGACAAACCATTTAAGTAAAAAAAAAAACGAATCCTAATGAGTTCTGTGAACTTAATCTATTTGAATAAACAAAGCAATTTGAGCACAGGGAAACTAATAAATGAAGAAAACTCAAACCAATTGAGTACTGAGAAACCCAATAAGTTAAGGCAACTCAAACTAGAGATCTGCACAGGACTGAATTTTTAGTCTCGCTCCCACCAGATTTTATTCCGCACCCGACTGCTCCAACCGTATATTAAGTCTTTGTTCACCCGATGCCCGACCCACCCTGTTTTCTTCCCGACCCGACCGTTCCCGCTAAATTTAGATCTGATTTAATCTCAAATTAAAATTGGGTATTACCCAAAGAGAGAGATAACAGATAAAAGTGTAGGTTGTGTAAGGATTGTAGGCTGAACGTCAGTTTTGTTTGTCCCTTTGTGATGAGACATGAGTGTTGCGTGATGTGCGGTGAGGTTTGTGGCTGATGAGGTACTGACTCTTTCAAAGTCAGATTTACAAACATATCCACTCAATATATTTGCCAACTACCGCTTGTGTTTCATATATCATATCAGCATTAGTTCTATACACACAGCAGGTACATATTGGGCCAAGGAAGAATGTAAAATGTACAGCCCAGCGATTAAATATGCATAACAAAAAACACCCAGCTGAAAGCTACAGAGCCCAGACGGTCCAGACAGCCTATAACAAGCGACACACAGCACCACGGTAGATGTGCGCACTTTATCTTATTCACACACACACACACACACACACACACACACACACACACACACACACACTCACACACTCAGCACCACGGTGGATGCGCACGCTCTCTCTCATTCACACACACACACACACATAAAGGGCTTAATTTGCCACCTCTGAAATCTCATCCGGCACCTGATTTTAACGATTCCCCCGATCCTCCCCCGTCCGCTGTTCACTTTCACTTTCTTCTGTGACTCCCCAACCCTCTTCACTTTTGTCTGCGACACCACTCCTTCATCCAACACCCCGCTCTCCACTTTTATGCACAACACCTCTACGTCCTTGGGAAACATGCCGGATCCGTAACCCCGATCAGTTCCATGACCTCGCAATTCACAAATTAAGCACTGCACACACACATATGGCAAGCACACACAGTAGCACCACTCTCTCTCTCTCTCTCTCTCTCTCTCTCTCTCTCTCTCTCTCTCTCTCTCTCTCTCTCTCTCTCTCTCTCTCTCTCTCTCTCTCTCTCTCTCTCTCTCTCTCTCTCTCTCTCATCTGTTTACAGCACGTCAGAATGCAAAATACTGGATTTAAGGATTATAAGTTAGTTTAGTGTTGACTCAGAGGCGTAAGGTCAGTTTAATAAGGTCTTATGTTAGTTTAACATGTATGTTGCGAAGTTTGCCGCATATGTTTGTAATGAGGCAACATGTAAACAGCATGTAAAGTACATGTTTAATGCATAATTATGCTTTGTGTTATATCACTCAACTCTAACTGTGACTGAAAAGAAGTGAAACGATGCCAGTAAACTTATTTAAAACTCATCTTTTCATGCAGAGGTTTTTAACAATGAATGAATAAATAAATGAATGAATGAATATTGCTGTCTGTGTTTTCATATCAATTAAAAACACAAAACATAGCTCTAACACATCTCAGTCTGTCCCTTTTGTCGGGTATAATCAGGGCTTGACTTTTTTGATCACCAGCCACTGTGGCTAGTTGTTTTTCAACATCACTAGCCACAATTTTGTTGCTGAGAAAATACATTTTATATGCATAAATTTGACTTTGATACACAAAAATGACTTGATTTAGATTTTGGGTTATGTCCATATGCCTCCTCATTCACACCCCTTTTGTGTGTGTCATGTACAGTATGAGCTTGCTCATTGAGCATAAGCTAATGGGTCATGATTTCATAGTGTTGTATTACAATTAGTTTTATTTCACATCACTTTTCAGAGCTCAAAATTAAGAATGTACCAAATGTATTGGTCCAAAGATAAATAAATAATAATTTCTTAGCCCAAAAAAAATTATGTGTCAAACCAAGCTAAATATAGCTGAACACTATACTTTTTATTTAACAATCTTTAATAAATTAATTAATTAATTAATTGACCTTTAAAGGTCCTGGCTAAAGGTTCTAGATCACCAGTTAACTGCTTTAATAGGAATAACTCCCCATTTATGTGTACTGTTATTGTAAAAAAAAAAAAAAAGATAATTAAACCATAGTAACAAAAATAACTGTGAGCAAAAGAAATCAGGTGAATGATAATAAAAGGACGATCACACGCACATGATTAACATAAGGCCCATTAATAATCTGTTTAAAGAATGGTTAAAGCGAAAGCAACCTGCTGCTTACAAAAACACAAATCTGGAGCTCTTGAAAGCAGCAGGACTGTGGGTGCATGAGCATAACTTTTTAGTCTATTTGAAGGAGAACCGATCCCACCAGTTGCATTTCTGGGCTTGGTTGCTTCACGCAAGGAAACGGGAGCGTGCACGCTTTTTAAACAGTTGCAAGCATCACATCAGCTGTTAGCGCAAGTGCTCGTCCTCTCATTCGGCATTCACCTGCTTTTTTACTTTTGCTCGCGCAGACACTATTAGTTTTGTCAGTCGTGCTGCTTCTCGATTCTAAGATCGCATTTGCACACATATTGAGTTGTCCTTACTGTCAAACCCTGCTTTTAAGATAGCTACAACTTAAAATTTGTTTTAAAACAGCCAAAGTGGCTAGTGGAAGTGACTGTCTAACCCGCCAGAGCTGAAATCTACACGCATTTGGCAGGTTGCTGGGTGTTAATGTTAAGCCCTTTCATACACAACACAACTCCAGAGCTGCATAGTTGGTGTTGGTGGTGTAACGGTGGCTCACTCACTCATTCTAGCTAAAATAAACTTAAATCCCAACACTTAAACGACACTTGAAAAGTTTGTCGTTTAACAAAGGAATTATCTTAATTTGTTACAACTGAAGTATAATAATTTTTCAAGTGTGTATTTCAGACTACATCACACTGTGTGTGTGTGTCTGAGAGTAAGCGAGGTCACTTTAGGGCAAGTCATTTCATTAGTCATTCATCTTTAAACTCCTCTCGGGCAGTATGCACAGGCATTCTGTTTGAATAGGAAACATCGAATCCTCCAAATTTGTTTGCCAAGATTTCAATTAAATTTCATATCAGGAAGCATCAATAAAATTAAACAACAACTGTTTCTTTAGTTTCATTTCTAAACGTTTGAATCACACAAAATCTGCAAATATCTGTTCCAAGCCCCTCCCCCTGAGAATCCATGTTGACTGTTACACTTTTCCCCATTCAAAACTATACAATTGACATGTCTTTGCAGTCTTAGGTGTCACATAATGGCATGAGCTGCTTGAGCATCTGAGCAGAGTGCATTAATATTCATGACCCTTCCAAATATGGTCAAAACTAACCATATCATAATTTAAACTATTATAACAATGCATTCTAGGAAATATTTAAAAAAAGAAACTACAATTTAAATGAAAACGACTTACTTTGATACCAAAGTAATACAGAACTTCTAATTATGTTTGTATCATCTCTTGTTTTTTTAATTAGAATTATTTGTTGTGTTTTTAATCCCTTATTGTTTTAGCAATGGTGTTGTGTGTGAGATTTGTTTCAGTTTTAGTGATTTTAGGAGACTTGTAAATGGCGCTGTGTGAAACTGGCACAGTCTCTGTCTCTGCTAATGTGCTCTCTGTACGTCTGCATTCATGTCTCGCTCTCCTGTCCTTCCCCGCAGTGAGGACACTGATCCAGACGCAGACAGAGAGAGCGATGGAGCGCTGGAAGTGTGAGACTGACAATGAGTGTTTGAAGCGCTGATCAAGGCTATCAGACCTGTGTGTGTGCGTGTGTCCCACAATCCTCTCTGGCAGCTCTGTCAACTACAGCTAGAGAACGATGGGCAAATGACATTGCTTAAATAAAAGTGCAAATAAGGGTAAGTAGAAACTAATAAAAGTGTACAGAGAGAGGGAGAGAGAGAGAGAGAGAGAGAGAGAGAGAGAGATAGAGAGAGGGGAGGGGGGTGCTGGAAATGGAAGAAAGCCTGCTTCTGTTGCCATATTGCTTGTTTGTTGTTTGTCTTCACATAGAGAGAACAGAGAGACTTTTTTCCTCTTCTAACTCACAACTAAATCTTCTAAAACATGCTTGTTTGTTAAGCCATCATTTAAATGAGGACACAGCAGGGCCATGTGTTGTTTTGTTTTTTATCCAAACCCTAACCTTGAAAGATATTTACACATATTTATTTAGCAGACGCTTTTATTCAAAGCAGCTTACAAAGGGGATAAAAAAGGGGTCAAATCACCAGGGAACAGCAATATATAGAAAGTCCAAGTTAGTTAGCAGTTTTTAATTAAATTG